TAAGGAAAGATGGAATAAACTCGAAACTCGAGCGGCAGAAGGCTTCCTTCCGGAAGCTGCTTTTCAGAAACCCGGGCAAATGTTTGCAAAGGCAGGGACTGTGTTCTACAAGCAGGTGGTGTGGCCATTGTCAGGGTTTCTAGGAAGACATATAAGAGCCCGAGAGTCGTGCTGTGCCAACCCTAGCTCCCATACCGAGCACACATGTAGCAGATTCAATATCTATTGTCCTGTCCACCTCAATAAGACATGGCACTCTTTAAAGCAGTTGCCTTAATAACGTTTGTGTGTCCTGGAATGCCGCCTTGGGCTAACAAATCGTATCTGAGGATGTGAAAACATGAAAATCGATAACAAGAAATGAAAAGTGCGTTTCACTGATAAAACATCATTTATCTTAATCATTGGGGCTTCTCAGAATTTCCTAAGTGCCCTTTTAAATGCCAGCATCCAAACTGGTGCCCATGTGTGTGCAGAAGGCCTAAGCAAGCATGTCAGACTCCCCTCCAGCCACAAGTTTGACATACTTGGGGGTCAAGGCAAGAATATGGATGGCTCAGGACACAGCCTGCCGCAGAGACATCTTTCTGGGGCAGGTGCTCACTGGACTGGTTTCCAACTGGGTGATCCAGGGATAGTTCTGTTGTTCCCAAACTCCCAATGAAAATAACAGACGTTCCTATGAAAGCTGTTTCTCAAGACTCTAACTGTGAAGCATAAGTGATCCACTTGTGGTGGGCTTTATAATGTGGCAGGCATGATGACAATAATTCAGTCTGATTATGGGAGAATGAAATTATTATTCTACCTCCAGGAAGCCTATACCTTGCCCTCTCCCCAGGTTCAATGACAGCATTCCTGTCCTCCAACTGCCCCCCACCCCCATAAAACCCACAGAGGGATAAAACAGCAGAAGTCCTTCGTGGTGAGAAGTTGGAAGCAGTGGTCCCCAGGGATCAGCATTCTGGCTGCCAGCCTTGTCTTTTCCTTCGCTTGAGGTTCCCTTAGCTCTTCCCAGAGGACCACATTGTGGAGAGGCTGGAAGTGGTGTAGGAGCTCTTGCCCTCCCAGCAGCCCCTGGGAAGTGGAGGGTTAGGACTGCCTAGCAGGCACTACCTTTTAAAGCAAACCCAGGCTTCCAGCCCATGTTTGAGTCCAGCTTGGGGGTGGGCAGAGGCATGGGACGGGGTGTCTCAGAACTCAGTAGTGCCGACATAGCTTTTTCCAAAGTTTTCCAGCACAGTGGCCGAGGCTTTTTTTTTTTTTTTTTTTTTTTTTTTTATTTTTTTTTTTTTTTTTTTTTAGTATTTTTTAAAATTGTTATTGAGGTGACATTGGTTAATAAAATTGTGGAGGTCTCAAGTGTACAATTCTAGGATACATCATCTGTATATTGCTTTCTGTGCCCACCACCTAAAGTCAAATCTTCTGTTGCCATATATTTGACCCCCTTCTCTCTGGTAACCACCATACTGTTGTGTGTGCCTATGAGCTTTGTGTGTTTATCTCGTTTGTTCATTTGTGGCTTTCAATTTTATATCCCACATATGAGTGCACATGGTTCAGAAAGCTTTTTAACATATATTGCTTCCCATTTTTCTTGTGATAAAATCTGCAATCCTCTGATACCTCTCCATCCCTCCCCCCGTTTGTATTCTAGCCATCCTGGCTTTCTGCCAGGGACCCAGTCTTCTCCTAAATTGGGATCCTCATCTGTACTGCTCCCTTAAAAGGCAAGCTCTTCACCTGTCAACGATTCAGGTGTCACTTTAAAATGCGACTTTACCAGAGACCTCTCTCTCTCTCTCTTGACTTCAAAATCTAAATCAGATCTCTTTCATAGATTTTGTACTTATCCACACTGGTCATCACAAGGTATAAGTAGAGCAGGTTCTCGAATAACATTGTTTTATTTAACTTTGTTTCATTCTAATGTTGATAAGGGGAAAAAATTGATTCCTGGCCAGGGCCACTCTCTGTGTGAAGTTGGCATGTCCTTCCTTGTCTGAGTGGGTTTTCTCTAAGGATTTTGGTTTCTTTTCTTAGATTCATTTTCATGTGTAATACTTGAAGTGTTTGGGGTCTTTACTTAGAAGTTTGGTGATGTTTTTGTGACCAGAAATATGCTGTAGGAACTTAATTCTTGTATATATCAGTTAATCAATGATAAAATTGGTTTCATGTTGTTGTTTCACTTAAAGCTGCAGTTTCCAAGAACCTGTTGGAGAGTTAACTAAGACATTTCTGTGCCATTGATTTGTGGTTATTTTCTGTGCGTCTTTCCCATTAGACTGAGCTATATGAGTGTGCCTTCGCCTCACTTGCTGCTGGACACAGCCCACCTAACACGTTGTAGACCCTCAGCACATGCTTGTTGACTATATGGCTAAATGAATGGATGAGTTCCAAGATACCATCCTGCCAATTTCTCAGGAGGCAAATAGGACCCATGGTCAACACAATAGGGATGTACCCTATTCTGCCTCCCCTTAGAGGAGCGGTTCTCAACCTGTGGGTCGCGACCCCTTTGGCGGTTGAACGACTCTTTCACAGGGGTCGCCTAAGACCATCCTGCATATCAGATATTTGCATTACGATTCATAACAGCAGCAACATTACAGTTATGAAGTAGCAACGAAAATAATTTTATGGTT